TATTTTATTAAAGGCAGCTATTCAGTGTGGAGTCAGCTTTTCAACAAACTTTCAAAGATTGAAATCATTCAAACTTTATTATATTCAAGGCAGCATTGCAGCGTGGCTTCAGCTGGCAGCATTCACACCCGCAATTTCTTCAGAAATTGCTTCTCTAGTTATTATTATATGACACTACACCACAATACAATTTTTGGCCAAATGATTGGTTTATACACATAGGATGCGTTCACAAAACAATAAGTTCACTATACATGTATTTGATACAGTATAGTCTTAATATACTCACTAGAAAATACACTATATTGATAAAAAAGAAAATCATATGGTCATATATTTTATATTATTATTGTTATTGTTAATAATAGCCTTTGCTAACCACCATTACTGACACAAAATATGCACGGTATTTTGACTGTAGAAATGTTGTATTACATGCTTGTTTTACACACTTTGGCCAGCAGATGGTTTTGTGTGCACATGAAGCCTCGAAAAATGACCCCTTTCCTGAACCAATTTGCTGGAAAGCTTCAATGCTTCATGAGGCTTCATCTCACCATCACTAAATCCCTGAAGGATAGATCACACACAAGACTTAAAATCCTATTTTATTGGAGGCTTTACTGTCTTCACAATTTATTGTTTCTTATCTGTGAAATACAAGTAAATACAAGCTTCGTTCTCACTGAGGGAAATGGTGTCAGTATACAGTAACTGAAAGGAGGTCTACATCACCGCTGAGCCTTAGGGTGGGCGAGTTCAACTTTCTGTCAAAAATAGGGGTGTTTTGAAAACACCCCCATTTTCACAGGTAACTTAGTAACTGCTCCCTTCAATACCTGTCTCATCAACATCTGACACTACATCTGATCAATCACATGTTTGATCGCACCTGCAACACTACATGCTATTAAAGAATTCACGTCACGAGTTAATTGTGCCACTCTGACATGAGTCCATGCAACAACAGATGACTGCAACTTTTCTGAACACCTGCAAGAAAAAGGATTAACATCAGACTGACATTTGATAGCTTGGTGTGCCTCCTCCACAGCTACTGGCACGGGACTGGTTTGTGATGGCCCAGAAGACACCTCCACAGCACCCAGGGTCAACTCAGCCCAGAAAAACAAAACACATAAAAAAAAACAATGAATGAATTGCATAAACAAAACACTGCTTTAAAAATCTTCTCTGGGAGGCAACAAGAGTAAGAAACTTTCACACATGGCAAGAAAAATAAGTTATTTTATTTTTCTTTAGTATTTGGCATTTAGCTTTTCATGGATAATGTAAGTAGTCTTAGCTGTTATTTACATTATTTATTAACCAACTAAAACTACTTATTAATAAAGCATGAATGACAATGAAGTGTTGTTTTTAAATTCTAGTTTATACACTTAAATATTCCACTACAGGTAAAACTCACATTTAAAGATACATGACTGTGAAAATGAAGGATTTTTTTTTTTATATAAAATCTGAAATGCTTTTTATGATGTAAATTAACAAAATAATCTCAGTGAACAAACGGCACTGTTACACCAATTTTCCTTATGAAACAGAAAGATACAACCGTGCACCTTCTTCATACAAGTCCCTCTGTTACACCAAATTTAGACCAAAAAACTTTACTGTTTGTTGCCTCATTAACACAATAAAGCACACTTCATTCAAACTGCACAAAAACCAAATAAATACACCCACAAACATTTGTGTTAGCTTCTCATTTTTCTTTTACTTGAATAAAGCACAGTTACACTAACCTAACAGTCGGCTTCACCACAAAACAAATATGGCGGACAGCTGCCGCCGCGCGATTTTCAAATGATGCCGTGTCAAACCAATTTGCCATGGGCCAGTTTATCTGCTATTCTGCACATACCACAATGGAGGCCATCTCTGCGACAGTTGTCTTCTGCTGCTGGTGTTGGGGTAGGGCCTTCATTCCTGTCTTAAGACTTTCTGGAGCCGAAGTGTCTCCCTCAGGGCTCTCCCAGCTTCCTCCAGGACGTCTATGTTGTAAAAACTTGTATGTATGAAGATAGAGAGCTGACGAACGAGCTCCGTCGGGCCTGTACAGTAATAACTTTTACACTTTGTGGCTCAGTTGTGTAAAATTAAAACTACTTACCGCACCGCAAGCCCACGGAACCTGATGAAACAGTCCGTTTTGCTGGAGCCTTGTATTTATAGCTTCATTCGAGCACAATCCGAAATTCAATTCAACCAATCAGGAGCGTTGTAACGGAGGGGATGGGGCAGCAATTTCAAGCAAAGCAAAGCTAAAACAAGATAGGATAGGACATACCATTTAGCGGAAGTTGGCAAAATAAATGTCCTCCTGCGTTAACATACGTTTACAACACAGAAATGATGTTGAAATTGTAAATCAATACTGCACTTAATTTTATTCAGTATATCAAAACGTTACAGTGAAACTGATTTCAGACAAACAACTATACAATACAAAATAACTTGATATCTAATTACAGTTTACAGCATTAAAAATGTGTATCAGTCTAACATTTACATCGGACCATTTAATTAGTGACTTTTAACTGTAGACTGTATATAATTATTAACTTTTTATTAGCATGTATAATAATGACTGAAATGTTTTTCTTAAAAACAGGACTGTACAGGTAATCCCCAAATTGGAGTGGATATATGATATGAGTATGGTATGGTATGGTATGAGATCACCCAGAGGATGCATTTGAACTTCATGTTTCATAATGTATTTTTTCTATGTTCACTTTTGGCAAAAACAAATCCTTAGGTGCAATCATGTTAACTTATTGTTCAATAAGTTCAATATCCTTGTTCAGTTTAAACCTCATCTTAAAGACCCTGCTGATGCTCAGAAATGAAGCTTTTGAGTTGTCACCAAATGCCATCGCCGTGGGATCGCACTATTCGCTATGAAACAGGAAGTTGTTTTTAAAAGGCAAAGGATACTTAAGAACTCACGAAACTTGGCACGCTGGCAAAATTATTTCTAAAACTGCAGAGACTATGCCCCAAGTCTGTTTCATTTTTAGTGCCATTTAGTTTTTTTTAATTTTTATTATTATTTTTTTTAATTGATTTAATGTGCAAAATGGTAGAATCTGGTGATGTCCAGGGTAAATGCCATGGGTGCCCAGTTTCCTGTTGTGGTTATCTGTAGTATTTCACTTGCAGATTCCCTTTCAGGAGTTAAAAAAAAAAGTATTTTGGGTATCCAAATTGCCAAATGGAGAGTCCACCTGGTCCTATCCTTGTTAAAAACCTTTGTAGAATCTATGTGCTTTGTGTATTTCTATCTACTTATGTACACTTTTAGTCAAGAAATTGCTGAATAAATTTAGTGACCAGCAGCCACATGAAACACATGAACAATAAAACGTCTTTTGAATAAATAAATAAATAAATAAATAAAAAATCATTGTTTAAATGTGCATAATATGGTCTTCTGGGTCATCCCCTGGCTCACCCTTGGCCTCACTGTCATCTTCATCTGCATGTAGAGACAAATAAAAGCACATTACTTGATAATGCAATCAAAAGCAAATATAAGAATGAAAATAAATGAGTGTCTAGCTTACTTAATGTAGAACTCCACAGTATAGCTTGGCAGTCTGAAAAGCACCCGAGGCACACTGATTGTAAGCAAATATCCTCCACTTCCTGCTGGAGGTCCGCAATTCATTTTGAGCTGGTCCTGGTCTCGCTCCAGGGCCTTCTTCAGCGCTGCCTAAAGGACCTTCGGCTGCTGCCAAAAACAACAGGGTTTCAGCCCTTGAACCCCTAATGAGCAGTCAATAGCATCAAATTAGGAAGATACGATTACAGCAGTCATAATTAACAGTAGGTGTGTAATAACATGCTAGCATCATTTTGGTCATAAGTGCAGTGATCTAAGGTCTGTAAAGTAATGTTAGGGCCCTGCACATCCACACAGGTGTTTTCATTCACTGGCTGATTAGACCTCTGCTCAGGGTTCGTCACAGGTTTTCCACCTTAACAGGTTTCCTACCAAACTAAAAGAGCAGCGAAGGAAATGCCAAACACAATCTCAACACTCCGGCCAGAGAGGTGGTCTGATTGGTAAAATAAATGACAACACCTGTGTGCAACTATTGTAACCAAGGTAACACAGAATATAAATGTGCCACCAGGACTCAGCTGTGATGTGTAAGACAGATCTCTGCTGCCACCTTGTGTCTTAAACATGGGAATGTTACAAATGGGCCAGTCAAGAACCTATAACACTAATCTGTAACATTTTCTCTTATCCTTCAAGTGGAAATAGACTGGGGAATTGCCTTGTGTTTATGAAATAAATGTTGATCGCAAACTGTAATGGCTATAATGAAAAGTTATTAAAGGGCCAATAACAATCTCAATATTTAAGAGTTTGAAAGAAGATCTGAAAGATCTGACATCACATACA